ACCCTGCCGATTCGGCTATCGCAGGTCACGCTCTGAATGAGCGTTCCCATCGAAGCAGGGATATCGAATCGTTGATACACAGCTGCTGCATTTGGGTGCGCTGTAAGGCTGCCCGTGGGTCGTTAGTGCGCACCGCGTGGCTGAAACTGATTGCTGCGGCTGACAATCGTTTCTCTGTGGCAGGCGCGCGAGGTAGTAGATCTGTCCAGCGGGGTTCAAGCAATGCCACTCTGGCGGTGGACATGGTCATTCATCCTCGTGCCAAGTGCCGATATGAAGGACTCGCCATCCTTCATGTGACGAGGGCTGCACCAAAATTTGAGTTCCCTGGTGGGCATCCAAGCCTGCTACGACCCAGAATCCCTGAGAAGACAAACCTCCCTGCCCAACACTACACACATCTTGCCAAGATGCCGTCAACCTGGCCATCCTTCGAGGTCTTTCTAGCAGACTTCGAGCGGAGAAGCCTGAGAAGGGAACAACCACGCATGCTGTCACACGCTCCGCCAGCAGGATCCGCGCGCGAGAGAAGGACTGAGGCTGACAGGGCAGCGCGGACGCACGAGGCAAGGGACGCGAGACCAGGGCAGAGAGCCAGCCCCCTCCGAAGTCGATCCCCACACCTGTCCTGGCGCACACCCCGACCAGGATCCCGAGGTGATGCTGGCCGCGGCGACGAGGAGCCACCGGGAGGCGTGGACAGGGAAACGACAACAGCACATACCAACTCCGGTCGGCTACCCTTGTGCTTGGCGTGCCGCGGCGGCGGCACCAACGACGAGCGACGTCCGCGGGAGGAGGGGCTTGGAAAGGCTCGGGGCGCTGGCGCTCGGGAGTCGAGAGGTGGCTGGCGTGTCGCGCCGAAGCGTTGTGTGGGACAGAAACAGCGGCGCGACACGCTAAGCAAACAGTCCCGACCGAATCGAAAAGAAGCAACTGCAGGAACATACCAACTTTCGACGGTCCGCGCGGATTTCTTGGCATCTGCGCCAGGCACACCTGCCTGGCGCGCTAGGGGCGGCGCCGGAGGTGCCGCCAGGGGGGCCCCAACGCCGATCCGAGAAATCCGCGCGGACCGCTGAAAATATATGTTAGTGCAGTTTTTTCTCCTTCAACAGCGCTCAACAACGCCATGCGAGCATCGGCCCGCATCGGATCGTCGGAATTTTGAATCAAATCGGATCGGGCCAGCCAGAATCGATACCGAACCAGGTCATTTTGATCGAAATGGGCCCTGCCCTCCCCCTCTTCGAAAGAAGCGGCCGGCGGAGAACCAGAAGTGGTGCAGGACCAGCTGCTGTGGCGGCGGGCCCTGCGCGACAGGCTGCATCCCCACCTGGCAGGGCCGACTGCATGGCAGAGGTCCGCGGGCACGGGCGCGGGCAGGGGGGATGGCGGGTGGGGAAAGGGTGTCCGAGAGGGCTCCCAGCATGCGGAATGCAGCGCTCCTCGTCTTACTACTAAGCACAGCCAGGAGTGGCGATCCAATCCACACGCGTCAGTAGCGCTCCCGCACGGCCGCGCCCGTCGCCCTGCGGCACCAACGCACACCAGCGTTGGTATGTTCCCGGAGGGGTAGGAGGAGGGACGGAGGTAACCATACCCCCTCGTAGCTCACGAGCCACAAGGGGAATGGAGCGGGGTGGGTGAGGCCTCGCCGCCGTAACGTGTGCACTGACGGTGGCCCTCCTCCTCCTCCTCCTCCACCTCCTCCTCCTCCCCCTCCTCCTCCTCCTCCTCTTCCTCCTCCTTCTCCCCCTCCTCCTCCTCCTCCTCCTCCTCCTTCTCCTCCTCCTCCTCCTCCTCCTCTTCCTCCTCCTAAGCTGCCGTTTGAGGGAATCGAGTCCTGCTCAGTTGTCAGGATTGCAGAATCGTAATCGAGGTAGTAGTGCACCCCATACCCACAGGCTTCGGGGGTCAAGGGGACTGGAGGGCTCGCCACTACTGAAGCACGGGATGGGAAACAATGGGGCCACACATGAACGTGCATCGTCTGTTCGTTTTCTGATGGATTTGTCTTGTGCCGTATTTGATTTCGAGCTCTCGGGACCCCCACGTGTGACCTCCAGCCAAAGAAGACGACAACGTATCCTACGCACCCATGCAAACAAATGCCATATTGTCAGGATGGACATTTTGAGAGGCCTATCATTATCACCCGAGCTGGGACTAGAGCAGAGACCAGAAGATCACGACATAATCTGAGAAAGGTTGCATGTTGGAGCACTTTGAAGAACAATTGGAGGAGCACACGCTGGAGAGCCAACGCAAAGTTCTTGCAATGATGACGACGCAACCCAGGACGAGAAGGCAACACATACTCCATATATAATGGAGGGAGGCGAAGTCGATTATTCAATGCCTGGCGGGCCCGATGCGGTCCTGGGAAAGAGCACCCCGCCAGCGCCTGAGCCGGCCAACGGGCAGACTTCTAGCATCATGGACGCAACGCCGTTGGACACACATGAGCTCATTGGGAGTAGCTCAGAGACACTTATTTCGAAGAGCTGATTGGCGCGGTTCACAATTCAGGCAGCTGGGAACACTTTCCATCGATTCTAAATGAGTTTGCATACGGGTTGGAACACGATGCAAATTATTGCACCAACAACGGGTCAAACACTTTGAACGTGTGCAATGATTTTCCGCCAGCAGAAATGAACACATTGGCAGAAGCGGTGGTGCTGGCAGATATTGTATGCAGGTAGCATTTCGACTTCCCATCAAGCAAGCGCAAGCGTATTTCAGAGAGCCCAGGCTATCAAAACAACGACGGGATAAACTTGACACGATTTTGGATACATTTGCAGAGCATTACAAACAGTTCAACAGGCCGAGGAACAAAAACACTACACACGCGTTTAATAACCTGTTGGACCACATCTATGAAATATCCATGACTGTGGATAATTGCAGTTTGCCGGCATCATGCTACTGCTTGAGCGCAAATACCAAACACGGATGTGTACGCAACTACCGAAACATAGATGAAGGTCGGAATTATGGATTGCCACGAAATCACATATTTAACGGTTCCTTAAAAAGAGAAGCGCGCCTGCCACACGTACATGTTGTTGGCGCGTGTTTGGCGCGCCGCGTGGTGCTGGCAGAGAGGGGAAGCAACAACATATCCTTCGCTAGTCAATCGCCCTCCGCGGCTCTCCCTTCCCCTCTCTTTCCCCCCCCTGGTCGAGGGCCTCGGCTGCTGGCCTGTCCCTCGCTGTTCCTCCTCTCCCGTTCTCCTCCCGGCTCCTCGGCGCCTCTGCCCCTCGGCCCCATCGCGGGACAGAGGAGGTCCCGCGGAGAGACAAGAGTCGGTGTATCGTGCAGTGGTCCCGGGGGCAGGGGCGCTGCCTACGTGCCAGGGGGGGGCGGCTGGAGGGAGAGTGGTGGGAGGAGCTGCGCCCGTGGCGTTTCGCTCGAGGGCGGCGTTCCAGCGCGGGCGCGGCTCCTTCGCCGAAGCGCCTGCATGCGACAGCGGCCACGGGGCCGCGCGGGAGCGGGCGGAAGGCCGACCTCGCCCAAGGCGCCGCGCAGATTGTGAGCGACGGTGGCAAAAAGCCGCGTCAGCGCGGCGCACACCTCGTCTCCGCTGCACCCCCATCGGAGGCTTTGCCGCTTTGGCCCCTGCACGGCCCGCGCAATTTGTTCTCTCCGCCACGTCTTCGGGAACGGGTCCGCGCGCGGGCGCCTTCCGTTTGCGAGCTGGGAGCGCGCTCTCGTCCTAATACCAAATCGTGCCACGCTTGATTCTCATGTCGTGGGAGGGAGGGTGAGAGTCGGCGGGGCCCTCTGACTCGCTCGACCTGGCAAACTTGATTCCAACTCCTGCTCCTACTCCACTCCCTCCTCCTCCACCACTTCTTCCCCCATCCCCACCCACCCCCCTTCCCACTCTGCTTCCTCCTTCTCCTCCTGTTCTTCCTCATGCTCACTCTCCTCTCCTCCCTATCCTTCTTCCGCCTCCTGTCCCCCACCCTCACTCTCCTCATCCGCGTCACACCATCATCCCGTTCTTCTTCTCCTCCGCCTCCTCCTCCTCTTCCTTCTCCTCCTCCTCCTCCTCCTCCTCCTCCTCCTCCTCCTCCTCCTCCTCTCCTCCTCAGCACCATCACCACCGCCACCATCATCACCAACCTTCTCCTTTCACCTCACCCCCTTACCCCCACCCACCTTCCCCCCTGGTCCTCCTCCTCCCCCCCGGACGACGGCCACCATCATCACCACGACGACCGCGAGGCGACCACGACGGCCACCACCACAGCCGCCAGGGCGGCGAGCACCGCGGCAACCACACCGACCTCGAACAAACGTCGACCCACATATAATTTTTTGTTGACTTCTGCCATGCGGGGCCCCCCGAAGTCCCGACCCCTTCCCGGGGGCCGCCCTTCCATCCAGGCCCGTTGCTTGACAGCCCCGAGGCCCGGCGAGGGCCCCCTCGGTGGCCGAAAACGACCCCCCAACACGCAGTCTTGATTTTCGCGATGCGTTGGGGGTCTGGGGGCGATCACCACAGAGGGAACAAACAGGTGCCGATGCCGCTGCTCCCCGGACCTCTCCTGGGGTGCGTTCTGACCAGGATCTCAAGGCGAGTCCAGCCGTGGCAACGAGGGACGGGCACTAGCATCGGTGAACAGTAGATTTTCATCCTCGGAACCGCGCCGGCCACGACGACGACCACCACGACCACGACGACGACGACGACCATCACGACCTCGACGACGACGACAACGACGACCTCAAACAATCGACGACGACCACCACGACCACGACGACGACCGCCACGCCGGGGGCCGCAGTGACAAAGCAACAAAGAGCAGCATAAAAAGCATAAGAGGTCTGTGCGGATTTCTTGGATCGGCGCCTGGACCCCCCTGGCGGCAGCCTCCGGCGCGCTTCGCGGGGCAAGAAGTGATGTCCAGAGCCGATCTCAGAAATCCGCGAGGAGCTCCGGCAGAGACCCTGGGCAAGAGTGACCTCGGGTGCGCGGCCTCAGGGGCCTGCGGGGGGCCCCCTGTGGGCCCGCACAGGAAGTCACTCCAGTAAAGGGTCACTCTGGCTCATGGCCGACATGCCTGCAGCCAAAGCTGACAGCACGGAGGCGCGGTCAAGATGCAGGCCCCTCGTGCGCCCCTGCCGCGGCTCTTCGAGCGGGGCTGGTCGCCCAAGATGGCTAAGGATAGACCGAAGAGGCAAGGATGAAAGGGCACCTTTGGGAAGGCCACCCCTCCTTACTGTCGATCCCGACTTTGTCCCGCCTTCTCTCTTCCTCGAGCGGTGCCTCTGTGGCCTGCAGCGCGTCAAGGGCCGCGAGGGCGCCCTCCGCCTCCAGGCCGCTGCCCGCAGGCACCGTCGGCTCCGCGGCGGCGCCGGGCACCGCGAAGGAGCCCGGCCGCCCCCCGGCGGCGCCTGGGCGCGCCGCCGCCGAGTTCTGCCACGTTCGCAAGCAGAAAGACAAGCCTGGCGAAGGGCCGAGCCGCGTGCAGCTGCGACGTGGCGCGGGGCGGGGCCCTCTCCTCACCCAGGGCACGGCCCGCGAGAGGTGGGGCCCGGGGCAGTGCGGGCGGGGCGCCACGAGGCGTGTGAGGTGTGTGTGCCAGAAAGGGGGAGGGGGGGGGCGGCGGCGCCTGGACGCGCCAGCACGGGCAGCCGCCGTCGAGGCTCTGCAAGACAGGCGTCACCGATGTTTTGGGAGGCAGCTTCCAGGAGGTGCTCGCGAAAACGGTTGAAGGCTACAGGCCTCGGAAAATATCCCACCAGCCCTCTGGGCGTAGGTGAAGGACGGGTTTATCACTGTTCCTTATGAGTATACACCCCCTCCTCCGGGCGACCAGGGGGCAACCAAGCACCCACCGACACCATGACCACCCGCCCCCCACCGTCCCTGTCACAAAAACAATACAAACCGCACTTCATTTCCACATTTGGAGCATGCGCGGCCAACCCGATGCGGCCCCCCCACCACCCCTGTCAAAAATCAATGCGTAGTACACTTTGGGGCAAAGTCTTGAGTCACGTTCGTGAGGCCCGCGAACGTTCCGAATTGTTTTTGACAAGGACGGCGGGGGTGTCAGCATATTCCCTGCTGTGCGCAAGGCTACCACCCCTACAATACAACATGCGCCTCGCGGCTAAATTCGATCATGCGCGGCCATCCCGCGATCACGGCCAAGTGGTTTTTGACAGGGACGGCGGGGGTGGTGGCGCGAGGTCTGCTGTGCGTAGGTCCAGCAGGCACAGTTATGGGCATCGGTTTTCGACAAGGATGACGGGGGCCGACATGTTTCCCGATGTGTGCTGTCACGTGCGCAGGCGCACCTGACGCACTCTGCACGTGCCCCGAACGTGGCGCACCTGGCGCGGCTGGAGTGCGCGGCACACCTGGCGCACTCGGAACACGTGGCGCATCTGGCGCACCAGGCGTGCCTGGCACGCTCGGGCCCGAGGGGTGCCTGGCGCGCGTGGCGCCCGTGGCACGCGTGGCGCACCTCGCCCACACGTCGAGCACCTGGGGTCGGCTTTGGTTCCCAGTAGCTGTCCATCCAAAGACGACCGCTGAACATGCTCAGGCTCGGGTGTTACTTATGTGTAGGGAGGGCGGGTGGGAGTGAGCTAGACGGCTTGCTATCTAGAAGGTGTCTTGATCACTGTTCCCTATTAATTAAACACCCCCTCCCCCAGGCGACTGGGGGCCAACCAGGGTCCATGACAACCCCCCACACCACCCCTGTAAAACATAGGCAAAACACACTCTGCCTCCAAATTCGGAGTATGCGCAGCCAACCCGATGCGCCCCCCCCCCACCATCCCTGTCAAAAAAACATACAGGGTACACTTGGCGGCGGCGGCGGCTGCGGCGGCTGCGGCGGCGGGCGGCGGGCGCGGCGGCGGCGGCTGCGGCTGCGGCGGCGGCGGCGGCGGCGGCTGCGGCCGGCGGCGGGCGGCGGGCGCGGGGGGCGGCGGCGGCGGCGCGGCGGCGGCGGCGGCGGCGGCGGCGGCGGCGGCGCGGCGGCGGCGGGCAGCGGCGGAGGCGGCGGCGGATTCGCCCCCAGTAGCTGCCCATCCAAAAGCGACTGCTGAATATGCTGAGGCTCGGGCCAGACTCGGGTGCTACGTATGTGTTGGGAGGGCGGGTGGGAGTGAGCGAGACGGCTTGCGGGCGGGGAGGGGGTCTTGACCCTTCTCCCTACCTGGAGGGGGGGGCGGCGAGGAGTTGGAGCGTCCAAGATGGCCCAAGACGGCTGCAAGAGGGCCCCTGAGAATCCAAGATGAGCTCCAAGATGGCTCAAGATAGCGCACGATGCCTCCAGATGGCTCCCAAGATGCTCCTAGAGGCCCGAATAACGTTCCAAGATGGTTCCAAGATGCCTCCGAGTCTTCCAAGGAGGCTCCCAAGAAGCCAACATCCTTCAAACACCAATGGGAAATCAATGATTTTGGCTTTCTCACCCTTTCGCTTCCGATGGCCATCCGAGGCCTCAAGATGGCTCCTAGATGTCCCGAAAGAGCCCCAGGAGATGCCCAAGAGAGCCCCAAGACGGCCCCAAGAGCGCCCAAGAGCGCTCCACGAGGGGTTCAGGAAGTGATTTTCGGTGCTCCCGAGGGGGGAGGCCAAGCTAGGTGCGCTCGCGTCATATCTGACGTCCTACCCCTCCCTCCCACCCCTTACCATGGCGCTAATTTTCTCTATCCGCGGACGCGTGTCGTAGCGTACCTGTGGCTCCGCGCGCGCGTGCGTAGTGGGTGGTGGTGCACGTGCGTGCGTGCGTGCGTGCGTGTGTGCGTGGTTGTGGTGGTGGAGGCTAATTGGAACTCTCCTCTTTTTCCCAACCATCCTGTAGTGTTGGGTCCTCGTTTTGAAGAGACGGTGCCCCGCGTTCCTCTCTTCTCCTCCTCTTGCCCCTCCTCCCTCCTCCCATCATCATCATCATCATCATCATCATCATCATCATCATCATCATCATCATCATCATCATCATCATCATCATCATCATCATCATCGTCATCATCATCATCATCATCATCACCACCATCATCATCATCATCATCATCATCATCGTCCTCCTCCTCATCATCACCATCATCATCAACATCGTCATCACCCACCATCATCGTCATCATCACCATCATCGTCACACCTCTCACACGCTTCGTGGCCCCATAGGGAGCTCCACCGAAGACCCCAGTGCTGCCGCCCGCATGCGTCAGCCACACCCAATTCGGCATACCCCTCACACGTTTCGTGGCCCCATAGGGAGCTCCACCGAAGGCCCCAGTGCTGCCGCCCGCATGGCACACCCAGTTCGGCACACCCCTCACACGTTTCGTGGCCCCATAGGGAGCTCCACCAACGGCCCCAGTGCCGCCGCCCGCATGCGTCAGCCACACCCAATTCGGCACACCCCTCACACGTTTCGTGGCCCCATAGGGAGCTCCACCAAGGCCCCAGTGCTGCCGCCCGCATGCGTCAGCCACACCCAATTCGACACACCCCTCACACGTTTCGTGGCCCCATAGGGAGCTCCACCGAAGGCCCCAGTGCTGCCGCCCGCATGCGTCAGCCACACCCAATTCGGCACACCCCTCACACGTTTCGTGGCCCCATCGGGAGCTCCACCGAAGGCCCCAGTGCCGCCGCCCGCATGCGTCAACCACACCAATTCGGCACACCCCTCACACGCTTTCGTGGCCCCATAGGGAGCTCCACCGAAGGCCCCAGTGCTGCCGCCCGCATGCGTCAGCCACACCCAATTCGGCACACCCCTCACACGTTTCGTGGCCCCATAGGGAGCTCCACCGCGCCGCCGCCTGCATGCGTCCCGCCCTTTCGCACACCACTTCACACGTTTTCGTGGCCCCATAGGACTCCCACCGAAGGCCCCAGTGCCGCCGCCCGCATGCGTCAGCCACACCCAGTTCGGCACACCCCCTCACACGTTTCGTGGCCCCATAGGAGCTCCGCCGAAGGCACCAGTGCTGGCCAGCCCGCATGCGTCAGCCACACCCAGTTCGGCACACCCCTCACACGTTTCGTGGCCCCATAGGAGCTCCACCGAAGGCCCCAGTGCCGCCGCCCGCATGCGTCAGCCACACCCAATTCGGCACACCCCTCACACGTTTTCGTGGCCCCATAGGAGCTCCACCGAAGGCCCCAGTGGTGCCGCCCGCATGCGTCAGCCACACCCAATTCGGCACACCCCTCACACGCTTTCGTGGCCCCATAAGGAGCTCCACCGAAGGCCGCAATGCCGCCGCCCGCATGCGCATGCGTCAGCCACACCCATTTCGGCACACCCCTCACACGTTTCGTGGCCCCATAGGGAGCTCCACCGAAGGCCCCAGTGCCGCCGCCCGCATGCGTCCCGCACACCCATTTCGGCACCTCCACCAAACACAGCGTTTCGTGGCCCCATAGGGAGCTCCACCGAAGGCCCCAGTGGTGCCGCCCGCATGCGTCACCCCTACCCCAGCACAGCAATTCGTGGCCCCACAGGGCGCTCCACCGAAGGCCCCACTGGTGCCGCCCGCATGCGCCACCCCCACCCAGCACAGCGTTTCGTGGCCCCACAGGGAGCTCCACCGACGGCCCCAGTGGTGCCGCCCGCATGCGTCACCCCCGCCCAGGACAGCGTTTCGTGGCCCCACAGGGACCTCCACCGAAGGCCCCAGTGGTGCCGCCCGCATGCGCCACCCCCACCCAGCACAGCGTTTCGTGGCCCCACAGGGAGCTCCACCGAAAGCGGCACCCGCAATGCGATATTCACAACTGCGCATGGTTGGGTCCTTCGCCAGGATAGTTTGATCGGTGTCCTCCAAAATGGCCCCAAGCGTCCCTGAAGCTTCCAAAAGCGCCCCAAGAGGGCTCCAAGAGGCGCCCAAGAGACCCCATACGAGGCCTTCAGAGGATCACCGAGGGACCCCACTCTCCCTCCGTCTCCTCCTTCTCGTCTTCTTCGTCCTCGCTCTACTCCACCTCCTCCTCCTCCTCATCTTCCTCCTCCTCTTGGGTTATGTGACCGCTTCCCCCGCCCTTTGTTCTTCTGCATGCTCCCCCGTTTCCCTGATCACATCACCTCCTCTGGGCATCGTTTCCGGATGGGCTGGTGGGGATATTTTTTTGTCGCAACCGCAGGCGAAGGCGCCGGCGGCGTCACAAGTCAGCTCGGGCTACGAGCAGACTTAATTGACCTAGCTGGTGGAGATGCTTTTTTTTGGTCGCGGCCGCGAGACAAGCATCAGGCGGCGAGGGCAACGTCCGGGCCACGGGCGAGGCTAATTGGCTAAAGCAGAGGCCCCGGCCGGCCCCCTCAGACGGCAGCTGCAGGCTGGGTGACGCTGAAAGGCTGGCGTACTGCAAGCGCGGGCACGTGCACTGGACAAAATGACCAGAATTCAACAGGGGTGAGTCGCCGATGTGGCGCCAGACTCCACACGGACGATCTGCGTAAACCAAGCTGGTGGGGATACGCGAAGCGTCAACAATTACAGTCAACCTGCATGGTAAGGATGGGTAACCTTCCCAAGGGTACTCCTGTATCCGTGTCCCTTCGGCCCATCCTTAGCGACTCTCGCTGGCCAACTTCATTCGAAAAACGCTAACGTGGCCCCCCAAGGCCCGTGCATCCTTATTACACGGGTTGACTGCAGCGAACACTCATGCCACATTTATCTGTCAATTTCCCCCCCCCCCCCCCCCAGTGCTCAATGTAGTCGGTGGGTTGAAGGAGTTGCGCTTCGACCGCAGTCTTCCCCGCGCGTGCCGACTTTGAATTTTTGGGAGACGAGGTGTGCGCATAATTTGTTTCCCTCTCTACCGTATTAAGCCTGATTGCGGGGCCACTCGGCCACATCAGCCCAGATGAAGCCCAGGATCAAGCCCGGTGAGGGTGGACTAGGCGGTATTAGGTGGCTTGATTCGGGGTTATGCCAGATGAGCAGGCGAGGCCTGTTTTCGACCACGGATCTACCCGCGCCGATGCTGGGTTTATCCTCCCAAGAGTGGCATCCAGAACTTTTTGGCCCGGCGGGGTTCTCTCGCGGCCACGGCCACATGCGCCTCGAGCGCCTGGCCAGAACGCAATCCTGGGCAGGCCCGGGGACCGTCGTCGACAGGTACGATCACCGGCGGTGGACAAACCTCCCCTGAGTAATCCTCCCCTTAGTGAAAACGGCCTGGGACCGAAACCGACGGACCCGGACCCGCAAAAATGACGGCCGCGACGCCCTCGCGCGAACCGAAAACGGCCAGTTCCTTAATCGACGTGTCAGGGTAGGAGCTTCATCAGCCTCCGAGATCAGAAGTCCGCTCCCGTGCCGCGAGGCGCTCGGAGGAGCGCCGCCGCAGGCACGGAGGCGGGCGTCCGTCTGGGCAGACGACGCCCCAGAAAAGAAAACAAAAAACCGTCGCGTGCCAGACGTGAGACGAGCGCAGCCTCAGAGCCGCGCGCCGTGCTGGCACGAGCCGGGTGCTCTTCGCCCGCCTGCCTCCGGGAGGCCTGCCGGGGGGGGGGGCCCGTCCTCCTCCTCCTCCTCCTCCTCCTCCCCCTCCTCCCCTCCTTCTCCTCCTCCTCCTCCTCCTCCCTCCTCCCTCCTCCTCCTCCTCCTCCTCCTCCTCGCAGAGACGGTGGGGCCGAGGTGGCAGGCCGCGATCTGCGGCTGTGCTCGCCGGGGGGGGGGGGAGCGCGGGTCGGCGCTGAGCGCAACCCAGCTGGGCTTGGCGGTGGCCCGCGGCTGTCGGGCCCACCGCTCTGGTGCGATTCTGAAAGCGGCCCCGAGCCCCGTGCCACCAGGTTCCCTCTGAGTCCTTCACCTATGGAGTAAATGCTGGATGCTCTCTCGTAGCCCAGGGGTCCAGCGTCCCGGATTTCTCGGGGTGTGTCGCGTGACCATGGGGGGTGTGTCGCAAGGCTTTCTCCTGAACCCAGAGGGCCCCAAATCGGGTTAAGAGGGTCCCAAGAGGCCCCCAAGACGATCAAAGGGTCCCGAGACGGTCCCAGAGCTTTTCAAAACGCCTCAAGATGGCCTTAAGACAGCCCAAGAAGCCCCAAAGACGCCCCAACAGGGCCACAAGAGAACACCCAAGAGGGCACCAAGAGGGCAAACTCATTGATTCCCCATGCGGTTTTGAACGATTTCACGGTTCTCGATTTTTCGGGCTTCCAGCACCCGAAGAGCGCCCAAGAGTACCACAAGATCGCTCCACAACGGCCCAAGAGAGCCCCAAGACGGCCCAAGCGCTCCCAAGAGGGTCAATGCGAAGGGGCCTTCCGAATCCTCTCCCCCAAGATGGTCCCAAGATTCCCCCGGAGGCCCCACGACGCCCCCAAGAGGCCTCCGAGAGGCCTCGAATGGGGCCCCCAAGGGGCCCCGGAGAGCCCTCCGAAGGCCCCCGAGAAGCATCCCAAGAGACCCATAAGATGCATCCGCGAGGCGTCCGACCCACACCCCAAGCACGGTGATGGATCGGGCCGCGGCCGCCCGATGCCGCTCAAGGACCT